ATGCCACAGCGCCGGCTCCTGGCTCCACTCTTGAGTTCTGATTTCCTCGTGGGTCAGCGTGGCTGCCCTGCCCTCTAGGAGTCTTTGCTCACTCCACGTAGAGCAGATGTGTCTCCTCCGCATTCACACAACCTCCGAGCTGCAGACTGTGCTGTTTCCTTACCGCATCCTCCGTCAGAATAGGCTCCATGAAAGCAGAGGTGCTGTAGCTGTCATTCCCTCTGTCGCTGCCCCCTTGTGTGCCCACTGGCTGTGAGTAGACCACAACAAGGACTTACGTGAGTGGGTGGGTGACAGGCAGGCATTGTAGAGCCAAAAACCAGGTCCTGTCTCACTGCCCACTTTCCAGGACTCTCCAGCTTGCGCTTCCTGCCATTTTGGAAGGCTGCTTTTTGTCTGTAACTCTGATCTTTCATTCAAAGAGAAGCAGCAAGCAAAAGCACACCTGTTTGACGATCGCCTACTGAATTCCACTCTGTCGGCCTGAAGTTACGCGTGTGGATACCTTGATCGCGATTTTGATAGCAATGTGTCCCGTCTACGCTCTGGACAGCTTCCTCTGGACTGTCTGTACCTGCTCTTGAAGTGTTTTGCTTTTCTTTATTGCAGTGATGATCGTATTCAAAAAACAGAATAGAATTCAAACTGATCTCCAAGCGTGCTCTTTAGATGGGGAACTTACAGTTGTTTTTTTAAGAGTAGCAAGTGTATTGGGTTATAATTCATATACCATAAAATGGACCCTTTTCAAGAAATTCCATGCTTTTTTAGAATCTTTAAAGAGTTGTGCCACTGTCACCACAATAATTTATTTGAAAGGCTGAAAGAGAGAGAGAGATCTTTCATCTGCTGGTTCATTCCCCAAATGGCTGCAACAGCTGAGGTTGCCCATGCTAAAGCCAGTAGCCAAGAACTCCATCTGGGTCTCCGATATGAGTGCCAAGAACTCAAGTATTTGTGCCATCTTTCACTGCTTCCTAGGTGCATTAGCAGGGAGCTGGATTGGAAGCAGAGTAGCCAGGACTCAAGCCAGCACTCCTGCATGGGGTGCAGGAGTCCCTAGCAGCGGCTTAACCTGTTGAGCCACAGTGCCCACCCTGGTAACCACAGTATTATTACAAAACATCTCCCAAGGAAACCCATACCCATTAGTAGTGACTTCCCATTATACTTTGTGTCTGTATGGATTTATCTGTTTTGTGTATTTCAGGTAAATGGAATCATACATTATGTAGCCCTTTCATGTCTTAACTCGGCAAGATGTTTGAAAATGGTTCATCCATGTTAAAACATGTATCAGTACTTGATTTCTTATTCGTGACTGGATAATATTCCATTGTATTTCATTTTGCTTATACAATCATTAGTTAATGAACTTTTGGGGTTGTTTCACTTTTTGACTGTTGTGAATGTTTCTGCTATGAACATTTGTGTACAAGATTTTGGGTGGAGGCCTGCACTGTGGTGTAGTGGGTAAAGCCGCTGCCTGCAGTGCCAGCATCCCATATGGGCACCGGTTCTAGTCCCAGCTGCTCCACTTCCAATCCAGCTCTCTGCTATGGCCCAGGAAAGCAGTGGAGGATGGCCCAAGTCCTGGGCCCCTACACCCACGTGGGAGACCCAGAGGAAGCTCCTGGCTTTGGATCGGTGCAGCCCCAGCTTTTGAGGCCATTTGGGGAGTGAACCATCAGATGGAAGACTCTGAATCTCTCTCTCTCTCTCTCTGCCTCTCTGTAACTCTGCTTTTTCAAATAAATAAATTAAATAAATCTTAAAAGATTTTGGGTGGACATGTGCGTTGAGTTCTATTGGATATATACCTGGGAATGGTAATTTTGTGGAAGTTTCTTTATGGTGGGGAGAATTGAAAGAGAGGGAAAGTGAGAGCTCCCCTCTCTGCTGGTTCTGTCCCCAGATGCCCACAACTGGCTGGGTGGAAGATGGGAGTCAGTGACGCAATGCAGACTTCCACATGGTTAGCAGGAAGCCAGTCACCGGAGCCATCATGACTGCTGCCTCCAGGATCTGCGTTAGCAAGAACGGCGGCCATGAGCTCGTGGTGCATATCAAACCCAGGCACTCCGATATGGGATGTGCTAACTGATGTGTTCACTGCAGGGCTGAACGACTGCTCCACCCCCACCCTGTGAAAATCTTGAGAAAATTTTTTACTCCTCGAGAGGAGGCCATCTTCTACTGCTTTCCCAGGCCATAGCAGAGTAGCTGGATCGGAAAAGGAGCAGCTGGGACTAGAACTGGCGCCCACATGGGATGCTGACACCACAGGTGGAGGCTTAGCCCACTAAGCCACAGCACTGGCCCTACCATTTTATATTCTCCTATTAAAAAATGTATTTGTGGGCCGGCGCCGTGGCTCACTTGGTTAATCCTTCGCCTGCAGCGCTGGCATTGCATATGGGCACCAGGTTCCAGTCCCAGTTGCTCCTCTTCTAGTCCAGTTCTCTGCTGTGGCCTGGGAGGATACAGTGGAGGATGGCCCAAGTCTTGGGCCCCTGCACCCACATGGGGAGACCAGGAGGAAGCACCTGGCTCCTGGCTTCAAATCAGCGCAGTGCGCCAGCTGTAGCGGCCATTTAGGGGGTGAACCAACAAAAGGAAGACCTTTCTCTCTGTCTCCCCCTCTCACTGTCTAACTCTGCCTGTCAAATAAAAAAAAAAAACACATTTATTTGTTGGAGCTGGCACTGTGGTGTAGTAGGCTAAGCTTCCACCTGTGGCGCCAACATCCCATATGGATGCAGGTGCGAGTCCCGGCTGCTCCATTTCTGATCCAGCTCCCTGCTGATGGCCTGGGAAAGCAGTGAAAAATGGTCCAAACACTTGGGTCCCTGCACTGGCATGGGCATGGGAGACCTGGAAGAAGCTCCTGGATCCTGGCTTCAGATCTGCTCAGCTCCAGCCATTGCAGCTGTTTAGGGAGTGAGCCAGTAAATGAAAGACCTCTCTCTCTCTGTCTCCCCCTCTCTCTGTAACTCTGCCTTTCAAACAAATCTTTTTAAAAAAGTATTTATTTATTTGAAAGGCAGAGTTACACAGAGAAGGAGAGAGAGACATCTTCCATCTGCTTATTCATACCCCAAATGGTTGCAAAGCCTGGGGCTGGTCCAGGCTGAAGCCAGGAGCTTCTTCTGGGTCTACTATGTGGGTGCAGGGACCCAAGCACTAGGGTCATCTTCGGCTGCTTTCCCAGGCGCATGAGTAAGGAGTTGGATTGGAAGTGGAACAGCCAGGACTTGAATCTGTGCCGATGTAGGGTGCTGGCTTAGCAGATAGAGGCTTAAGCTGCCATGCCACATTGCTGGTCCCCCATTTACACTCTTGCCACAAATATATGAGAGTTTCAATTTCGCCATGTCCTTGCCAGCACTTCTCATTATCTTTTTGATTATAGGTATTCAATGCGTGGCAGCCCCTTGTTTGGACATGCATATCTGTAATAATTTACAAAATGGAACACCTTTTCCTGTGTTTACTGGACTTTTATACCTTCTTTGGGATGTGTCTATTTAAAAAATCCTTTGTTCATTGTAATATTGGGGATTTTTTGTCATTGAGCTTAAAGAGTTTTTTTTTAACGTATGTTGGATTCTAGTCTCTCAGCAGATAAGTGGTTTGCAAACACTTTCTCCTGTTGTGTGGATTGTCTTATCATTTTCTTGATGGTGTTTGAAGCATCATGTTTTAGTTTGATGAAGTCTGTTTTTCTCTGTGTTACTTATGCTATTGGTGCATATCTAAGAAACCATTGTCTAATCTAGGACTATGAAGGTTTATTCTTAAGTTTTTTCCTAATGGTTCTGTTATAATTTAGCTCTTAACCTTTAGGGTGGTTATCCATTTTGAGTGCATTAGAGTGTGGGGTGAGGTAAGGGCTCAGGTTCCAGTTTTTGCATGTGGCCATCCAGTTGTCTCAGCAGCGTTGTAGAAAGGACTGTTCTCACTGAGAGTGGCTGGGCGTCTGCATTGAAAATCAATTGACCACAAATGTGGGGACTTATTTTTAGATTCTCAGTTCTGATGTATTGATCTGTATGTATGTATGAACTTATGCCAGTATCACATTGTCCTAGTTAATGTAGCTTTGTAATAAATTTCGAATTTGAAAGCCTAAGTCCTCCAAGTTCATCCCCTGCCCTGAGATTATTTTGGCTCTTTGGGTCGTTGGCGTTTGCATAGAGATTTTAGTAACAGTTTGTTCATTTCTGCAAAATCAAAGCTGGAAATTGGGGTGGGGGCTCAGCTGCCTCTGTGATACTCGCTGTCAGTTGACCTGAGGCTGTAGCGTGGGTCTCATTTTGAGTGCATACGTGGGCTGTTATCTTGACTCTGTTGACAGTAGATTACATATGGTTGAGGACTTAAAAAATGTTACTCGTGTATAGTATGCGTGGAAGTTCCAAGTGTTCTGCAGTGAATAGTTAGGAAGTGAGCACAGGTGTATAAAGAGAAAGGGAACATGGCTGGGTATGGTTGGGGAGTTTTCGGGACTTTTTTGTCTGTTTTGTTTGTAAGTACTTGATTTGGTGTACGTTGTTTCTCAGAAGACGGCATACTGCCCTGGTTGGTAGCATGGACTTTGACCTTTACTGCTTGGGTTCAAATCCCAGCCCTGCCACATACTCCTGTGACACCACGCTCAAGAGGCTTAACCCTTCTGTGTCCTCATTTCCTTGTCTGTGAATTGGGAGTAAAAGTGCCTCACGGGGAGGGTTAGCGTGTGTGACTGCTTGGGAAATGGACGGTCACAGGAAATGCTGCGTCTGCTTTCTGCTGGACTGTTGCCATTGTTCTGCCTGTCATTGTTGTGTGTCTCTTCACTGGAGCCTGTGCCTTTGTCTGATTTAGTTATCACCAGATTCCCGAAGACCAGCGAGATCCTCGAGCCGTGTCCACCAAGGAAGGGATTAGACAGTGAGTGCAGGGACTCCTAACTCCTTAGCGGCGCCTCTGACAGCCGTGCTGCCTTTCTCTCACCACAGCTTCTGGAGCTCTTTGACAGCGAAGACCCTCGGGAGCGGGACTACTTAAAAACGGTCTTACACAGAATCTACGGCAAGTTTCTTGGTCTTAGAGCATTTATCCGAAAACAGATTAACAATATTTTTCTAAGGTAAGTGGAGGGCGGGAGGGGAAAAGGGTAAGCCAGGCTGATGTCTTCATAGAAGTATTCAGTACACCCCCAATACGGGAGTGTACTGTACTGATGTTGTTCTTCCCATCTCTACCCTTCTCTCCCTCCTCCTGTCCTTATCCTCCTACCTTCTCTTCCCTTTTAAGGTTTGTTTATGAAACAGAACACTTCAATGGTGTAGCTGAACTGCTGGAAATATTAGGAAGGTAAGCGCGTTTCGCTGCTTGCTCATCTCAGGTGTTTGTCATTCTGTAGATGGGTGCAGGCGGCACTGGGACGTGCTGACTTGGATCTCTTGCTGACTGTCCGGCGGGTCTCTGGCATTTGCGCCTAGCGTGCCTCCCAACTGACTACCAGACACGATTTCCTGTTCCCCGTGTTCCCCACGAGGCGTTGCTAATGAGCGTAATCCCACTGGGATGGCTGAAGGCGCTAACAGCTCATTCGTTACTGTAGGGAAAATACGAGTGTGTCTAATTGCATCTGAATGCCATAAGCCTCGTTCCAGGCTGCTGACCTGTGGCATAGCTGCGGAGGCAAGTTTCTGATCAGTAGGAGAGCTGGCCATCTTCATAGGGACCCTGTACCTGCTGCAGTTCTTGGGCGGCTGCTGCCTGGAGGGAGGAGGGGAATGGACTAGACAAAGCTGGCTGTTGCGTAGGTTCCCACACGCGAGGGAGACAGCTGGGCGGCGTGAGCCCAGCGGGGGAGTCGCACGGTTTTCTGTCAGTGACCTCCCTTTGGTGGGCAGAGATTGATGCCGTCTGGAAATGGGAACTGTCGGATTTAAAGAGGAGGAGGAAAAGCAGGCGAGAAAAAAACAAAAGAGTTTTGATGAAAAGCTTTTAGGAGCCATCTGATTAGTTTTAATGGTGGGGTGAGCATGAGCAAATTCATTTCTCCTTTTAAATTTCCTTTCTACTTAAATGCACTCTTTGAAGTAACTGAGAAGTCTTGACTGCAGCTGGGCGGGTTTGGGGTTGTTCTGGACAAACATAAACTGTTCAGGGTTTGAGCTTCACAGGGGCAGCTGTGTGTGAGTGTAGCTGTGTCAACACCGCCAATGCGCGTCTCTTCTTTCTCCTAGTATTATCAATGGCTTTGCGTTACCTCTGAAGGCCGAGCACAAACAGTTTCTGGTGAAAGTGTTGATCCCTTTGCACACCGTCAGGAGCTTATCGCTCTTCCACGCGCAGGTAGGATGTGCCACAGCTGCCTCTGGAAGCTGTCGAAACGTTGGAAAACAGTCTCTTTCACTGTTGCGGTTTCCCTATTTTTAAAAAAGGACTTATTCAAGTTGAAAATACTCCCCGAGGGAGATCAAGATGTGTGTCATTTTCTCCATGCCCAGGAAAGTCCTGGGGACATTTTTAAGGTGGGCGGGGCCTCTGTGCAGACGCCTAGTCTGCGACAGAGAACGGAGGTGACTGTCCTGGTTCACACAACTGCGTATGAACATACGTATGCATGAAAGAAGCTGTGTGTGGGTCTCCAGGTTTGCATCTTTGGACATGTGCAGTCATTTTTTAGTGTTCTTCAATATTGTGTTCCATCCTTAGCCTCACTTTAAATTACCCTTTCAGTTGCCTTTTTTTGCCCCCTTTTCTGAGTTTCCATTTAGTTCTCACTTTCTACCCAGAAATAAACACAAGAAGTCAACTGTTTTCATTTTTTTGGCCTCATTACTGTAAAGGCATATCCTGTCTTGTCCCACTCTGACTCCTGAGCCAGCACTGCCCCGCATGGCGGGCGTGTCACCAGGGGAGATGGATGACCTCGTGTATTTCTAATTCCAGTGTCTCAAAACTCTGACCCCCTCCCCGCTCCAGTAGGAGTGTTTTGAGTTTGCGTCAGAATATAACATGTTTTTCTAAGCAGTGTTCGTTCTTTAAATGTGAAGTTCTGTGTTTTTGAAGAAGAATTACTTCCTCTTTTTCTGTTTTGGAACACCATCAAAATGTTGATGTTTACGAGGGTGGATCTCCAAGAGTCTTCCCCCGTCCCACCCCCCTTTTAAGATTATTTACTTATTTCAAGGTCAGAGTTAGAGAGAGAGAGAGAGATCTGTCATCTGTTGGTTCACTCCCTAACTGGGTACAACAGCTAGGGCCGGGCTAGGAGCTTCTCCTAGGTCTCCCATGTGGGTACAGGGGCCTGAGCCATCTTCCGCTGCTTTCCTGGGCACATTAGCAGGGAACTGGATCAGAAACGGAGCAGCTGGGACTCAAACAGCGCCCATATAGGATGCTGGTGCTGCAGTCAGCAGGTTAACCCGTGCACCATGGCACTGGCCCCTTGGCCAAGAATCTTTACAAACCTTTCCTACGTCTTGCCTTTTGTTTTAGAAATGGGATGTTCCATTTCATGCCCACGTAAGAATTCTTGCTGAGATGGGCTAGCATGGGATAGCGAGCTCCAGGTTCTCACTGTGACGGACGCAGGAGCCTGCGTAGTTTGTGCCACTTCAGGCAGCCAGTGCAGTTTCTGGAGTAGCCTGCTTCCCCTGCAGGACCCTAGAACCTCAGTAAGCCCAGTCCTGTGGGTGGTAGAAAGGAGGCGCCCGATGCCGCTGAAGCTGCGTGTGGACGAGACTCCGAATCTGCTTGTCATTCGCTGCGTGTTTCTGGCCTCGAAACTCTCCCCCTCACCTCCCAGTAGATTCCCCTGGAGCCTTGTTAGTGTCCGACTTGGGCTTGAAAACGTAGCTTTTTATTTTGCTTTATATGCATTTTATTTGTATCATAGTTAAAATGAATTGAACATGAAGTTATTAAGACCGGAGTCTGGGATCCTTTTATAAGTTTTAATACTGCATTTTTTGAGCCCTTAGTGTGTCGAATGTGAAATTTTGTCTTGTCTTTTTGTTTCCTCAGTTGGCCTATTGTATAGTACAGTTTCTGGAAAAAGACCCTTCACTCACAGAACCAGTAAGAATTTTTTCCATAATTTAAAAAAAAAAACTTCAGAAAAACTACTTGTCTTGGAAGCGTATGTGAACAATCATTCTCTTTCTCCTTTTCCTTTTAGGTTATTAGAGGATTAATGAAATTTTGGCCTAAAACATGTAGTCAAAAAGAGGTGAGTGCTTCGTGTCCCACGCTGTGAGCAGCTTGCCAAGTGTGGTGCTGAGTGCCAGGGGCGGGGCCTGCCTGTGTGACAGCCCTCTGACGTGTGCTGTAGCTGTGCGGGGAGGGCCTGGGAGCGCTCCTTCACTGGCCGTGAAATGGAGCCATAGTGAAGTTAGCCAGGGCCCGGCTCTGCGGAGGGCGCAGGTGAATGGGCCAGAGCCAGTGCCCGTGACTTCTGAACCTGGGGCCTTTAGGCCCCAAGCGTGTGTCGCGTTGTACAGTTCTGTGGAGGTAACTAGGTAGGATCATAAAATACAGGGACACCCTACAAACTTCCCGGAATGGTCCATTTGTGTTTTCTGGACTTGGTTCTCTTAGCTGGTTGTGCTAGAGGAGCACCCAGCGCATGGCGGGGGCTGTACCTGCTTGGCCAGTTGCAGCGTGTGCTGCTGTGTGTGGGGGGTGGGACACACCCTCCCCTTGGAGAGGTAGCTGGGTCTTGCCAGTAGGGAAGTGAGCCCCCTCCAGGGAAAGTCCTGTTTCCCAGGGGCCCTGATGCACAGCCAACTTATTTTTTCAAAGTAGATAGAGTTATATTTTCAGTGCCGTGGTGACTTGCTTTTAAGAAGTCCCCCATCATGAGTTCATTGTGAACAGAACATCTAACATGGGATAATGCCCAGTTTATCTATGTTTGGCTTGATGTATAAATTTCTCTTCAGTCAGTACAGACTCCCCCTCGTCCTCACCGTCTGTGAGGATTTTTAACGAGGTCCGTCACGCTCTGTGTTTTGCTTTTACTTCCAGGTCATGTTCCTCGGGGAGCTGGAAGAAATATTGGATGTGATTGAACCTTCACAATTTGTGAAAATCCAAGAACCTTTGTTTAAACAGATTGCCAAGTGTGTGTCCAGCCCCCACTTTCAGGTTAGTGGTGAAGAGAACATGAGCCGGAGTGGCCGTGGCCGGTACAGTTATTCTGGGTGACTTTTATTTGTGCTGAAAGAGATAAAATGGATACTAGCAACTTCCTGGGTTTTATTTGCATTTTTCCCTCCTGATAATTTTAACCATAGGCACCTTATCTTGGGTGCCTGCCGTGCAGCGGCCACGGTGGTGTGCATTCTGTGCTGTCACTTTCCCGTAATACCCTGCAAGGAGGGCTTTATGTTTTTATGGTTTTGAAGATGTGAGCACTGAAGCTGCAGTGGTAAAATCACTGTCCTCGGGCACACTGCTGACTTAAGAAATGAGCTGATACGTTTCCTATTGTGTGTAAGAGAGAACACCACATAATGCTTAGGGAGAACGTGAGAACCCCAGCAGTCTCTAGTGTCAGCTACATTACATTCCTGAAAAACCTCAGAGTGTTCTGGGAAGCCTTTTTGCATTTTATAAGTGAGGCTCAGAGGTGTGGAGCCCATTTTTGGTCTTAGGCGTAGCTTCTAGGGAAAGCCTGTAACCTTCCGGTGGCACCACACTGCCTCCTTGTGGCCACTCAGGGGGAACACAGGGAAGGTAAACTTGGGCGGCTGTTTTTGGAGCCGTTGCTGTCGTGTTGGGTGGGTAGTTCAGGGCTGAACTCCCGTTGGGTTTTATCCTACAGCTGTGTCACCAGAGGTGCCTCTGACAGAGGTGGAGAGCTGCCACTCTCCATGCTGCCTGCCAGTGCCAAGGGGCTGTTCAGAGTGTGGTTTGCAGCACAAAGCCACACCTGTTGTGGCGGGCTCATTTGAAGATGCACCTTTGCCGACGCTGTGGGATCCCCCACAGGTGTAGAAACACTGACTGCTGCTGACCTGAGACATGTTAGCATGTCCGTGCCCTGATCTTAGGACGTCCTAGCAGCTGTGCCATACAGCACATAGGAAAGGTAGAAATCGTTAGATGAATTGTCCAGACGATGAAGGACCTGTCTGAGTAACAACAGAATGTGCGGAACTGCGTCTACGGGCGCTTTACGTCTACACAGCGACTGTGCTGCTCGCACATCCGATCTGCTCATCTTGGTCTTCTGTCTCCGTGAGGGTGTATGGCGGAATGGAGGCCCAGTGCAGGAATCTCTTAGAGTGAGCCTCACCAAGGAGTCTTCAGTGTTTCTCAGGAGCTTAGGAAGGGAGACAGGGCCTTAGTCGCCCTGGCTGCTGTAGCAGACGTGACTGGTTTCTCCCAGTGTCAGAGGCTCGAAGGCCAAGCTGCCAGCCGGGTTGGTTTCTGGCGAGGTCCCGCTCTCTGTCACGTCCGCCTCACGGTGTCCCCTCTTCTCTGTGTGCACGTGCAGTGAGAGAGGCGCCGATCCTGTCTGATTAGGATCTCACCCTTGTGACCTCCGTTGACCTTGGTGACTTCCTTAAAGTCCTCTGTCCAAATATAGTCACGTTGGAGAGTAGACTTCAACGTATGCTGGAGCGTCAACAAAGTCCATGGGAAATGTGTATTATGAAAGACCTGTGCGTGGGTTCCAGAACTTGCCACACCAGAATTGTTTCTTTTTTGAAGTTGTCTTAATTTGAAAGGCAGGGAAACAGAGGGAAGGACAGAGAACGATCTCTGTCCACTGATTGACTCCCCAGATGCCCCCAGCAGCCAGAAACTCCATGTGGTTCTCGCACTCAGGTGACAGAACCCCAGGTGCTTGAGCCCTTGTTTGCGGCCTCCCAGGCTTGTTCGTGGTGGCTGGCTCGGAAGCTGAAGTGGGACTCAGATCCCAGGCACTCTGCCAGGGGATGTGGGGTTCTGAGTGGCGGCTTAACTTGCCCCCCCCAAAATAATCTTTTTAAAAAAATGTTCATCTAAAAACACATTTATTATTTATTTGAAAGACAGAGTGACAGAGATCGATCGTCCTGAGCTCCCACTGGGTGGCAGCAGTGCAGACACTTGAGCCGTTATCTGCTGCCTTCCCAGGGTCGTTAGCAGGGAGCTGGGTTGGCAGCAGAGCAGCCAGAGCCTGAACCAGCGCTCTGATACAGCATGCTGGCTTGTAAGGCCGTGGCTTAACCTGTTACACCACAACACACCCCGCGTTGACTGTGTTTAGCTTCCCTCTGTCTCTGCTAGCATAGCCCTTCGGTCTGTTTGAAAATTCTTCCCTTCAGTGTCAGGTTTCAAGGCAGCCTCATTTCCCTCTGTCCCCCCCCACCCCGTTCTGGCCGCGTCGGCCACGCCGCTTGCTCAGGTGGTTTCGAAACGCACTGCTGATGGGGGTGCCTCTGCCCCGCCGTCCTCTGCTGGGGATGCCCTTCCCTTCATGCTCCACAGCGCAGTCATTGCTGCCTGCCGGGGCACGTGCCTGCCTCCCCATGGCTCCCCAGGGCAGCTGGGTCATTCAGCCAGACCTTAACCGGGGTGTCCTACGCCTCTGTCTGATGCAGCGTCTGTCACCACTCGGGATGGCATGGGCTTGCCCCTGCCTCCTTTCCCCGCTAGTTTATCAGCTTCGAGGGGATGGCAGAGGGGAGAAGTTAAGAGCAGAGACGTGGGAGTGTGCCCCCCGCTAGCCATGTGGCCTTGAGCCCGCACTTTACCTTCTCTAAGCCTCCGGTTCCTCCTCTGCAGACTGGGGATCGTGATAGCAGCTCCTTGCTGGTTGTGAGAATTAAATGAGATACTGTGTATGTGAACCACTTAGCCGGGGCCAGGCGTGCCATCAACGTTCAGAAGTGATTTTTTTCTTTGTATTCTCAGGGTCTAATGCTGAGCAGGTTCCGGGATTTTTTTTTAACCAGATTGAGTGCTGTCAGTGGAGCAGTGCTCATTTCTGGGTGGTGCGTCCTGTACTGTTTGTCCTCTTCTAGCACTCAGTCTCCTGTCTGCTGCTTTCCTCTCCCCACAGGGGACCTCTCCTTGTAGAGCTTGTAGGTTTTGTTTCTGAGATGTTCCTTGGAATCCATAAAATCCACGATGAGCCCCACACGCATGCAGCAGGTGCAGTTCGAGTCTGTGTGGTGGGCGAGGGAAGGGCTCTGAGAGGGCAAGCAGGGGGGATGCAGCCCATGTCCCTGCACGTCCAGAAACTGAGCAGCCACCTCCTGGCTTGCCCCGTTTAAAGGAAGGGACTTGGGTCCCTACCCTTTGCGAGCGCTGTGACCCTAGGCTGGGGTTCCCAGTGCCTCTGAGCCGCTGTGTACCCGTCACAGAGATGCCTCTGTGGTGGCTGGTGCTGTGCTGGTGCAGTCCCCCTGTGGTGCACACTCGGGGCCGGGTCTGTGGCGGGCCTGAGCGTGCAGGCCGAGCCAGGTGAGCCAGGTGAGCCAGGAGGGGAGCCACGTGGGGGTGCAGGTGCTGCACATTCTACAGAGGAGACTGTGGAATGGCGGGCAGGAAAACGGCCTTTGTCTTCTCCAGCCGATGTTGATGAAGCGCTTTGGAACTTTCTGAGAGATTTTTAAAACATATAAAATGCCATTAGTTTTAAATCCGTTTTTTTTTTAACTTTGAAAAGTAGTCTTTTAAACTACTTTTGTTTGGAGAGATTACAGTTCTGGTGTATCTTTGTCTTTTTCTCTCGCCTAACATCTTGTTTTTCCTTTCCCGCAGGTGGCAGAGAGAGCCCTGTATTATTGGAATAATGAGTACATCATGAGCTTGATAGAAGAGAACTCGAACGTCATCCTGCCCATCATGTTCTCCAGTCTTTACAGGATTTCAAAAGAACACTGGAATCCGTAGGTTTTCAGTTTTTAACAGTTGTTTATTTATGTTCATTACTTCCAAGGCAGAGTGACAGAGAGTGACAGAGAGAGAGAGAGACAGAGGTCTGCCATCCACTGGTTCACTCCCCAAATGCCGATAACACTCAGGGTTGGGTCAAGTCAAAGCCTGGAGCCAGAAATTCCATCTGGGTCTTCCATGTGGCCTGCAGGGGCCCAAGCACTTGAGCCGTCATCTGCTGCCTCCCGGGATGTCTTAGCTGGGACTGGAGCCAGACAGTGTGCTGCCGGGTGTGGTGCCCAAGCAGCGGCCTAGCCAGCTGCGCCGCGACATGGCCGCGGCTTGAGTCTCGTCACTTCCTCCTTCCCTCCATCTCTCTCTCTCTCTCTCTCTGGCCTTTCCTGTCATCTTCCTTCCTGTTGTGCCTGTCAAAATGTCTCGAATGCTCACTGGGCCAAATGCTCCGCAGACAGGCACAAAGAGGAATCCCTACCTTTTAGGGATTTACTGACTAGCGGGGAGGCCCACGGATGAACAGGAGGAGTTGACTTGAGAGGCTCTGCCCTGTCTGAAGGGAGCGCTCTGGAGCCGAGTGGGAGGTTGGTGGATATTGATGAGGGGCTGGGATTTGGCAGACGGACGTGATGGGCTGCTCAGCGGATCCGTCCATCACACAGAGAGGCACGGTGACATAGAAAACACGTGTTAGGCTGTTAGAACTCTGAGGCTGGGGGCTGAGCACAGGTTTTTGGGCAGGCTGCTGGAAGGTGGAACGGGGCCCACGTGAGGTCTCACCAAGGCGGTGACGAGGAAACACTGAAGGGCTGTGAAGAGGGAAGTGGTCTGAATGTGCTTGTGTTTTCCCGACATGCACTTCTTGACATCCAAGTTAGTTGTGATGTATATTCTCTAGGAAAAAAGGTTGAAAGTCTTCAAGAAATTCAGTGTCTAGCCCCAATCTTCACTCCCCTCCCCTCCCCTGCCCTCCTCTCCCCCTCCTGTTTCCCTCCCTCCCTGATTGAGTCATTTGAAAGAGTTAGAGAGAGAGATCTTCTATCTGCTGGTTCACTCCCCAGATGGCTGTGACCAGGAGCTTCCTCTGAGTCTCCCACATGGGTGCAGGGGCCCAAACACTCAGGCCATCTTCTGCTGCTTTCCCAGGTCATCAGCAGGGAGCTCAATTGGGAGTAGAGCAGCTGGGATTTGAATTGGCACCATAAAGGATGCTAGCATTGCAGGTGGCGGCTGCATGCGCTATGCCACAGCTCCAGCCCCCCAAATGTACTTCTTATACATGTTTTGGGAAAGGTCAGACTTGCAGTTTATTTAATGCAAAGCTTAATTTTTATGACTTCCTTTTTCAGTGGTATTGGGAACACATTTGTTGAAAATGGAAGCAGGCTGGCACCGCGACTCACTAGGCTAATCCTCTGTCTGCGGCACCGGCACACCGGGTTCTAGTCCCGATCTGGGCGCTGGATTCTGTCCCGGTTGCCCCCCTTCCAGGCCAGCTCTCTGCTGTGACCCGGGAAGGCAGTGGAGGATGGCTCAGGTCCTTGGGCCCTGCACCCACATGAGAGACCAGGAGAAGCACCTGGCTCCTGGCTTCGGATCAGCGCAGTGCGCCGGCCGCAGTGGCCATTGGGGAGTGAACCAACGGAAGAAAACCTTTCTGTCTCTCTCTCTCTCACTGTCCACTCTGCCTGTCAAAAAAAAAAAAAAAGAAAAAGAAAAAAAGAAAATGGAAACAAACTTGTGTATTTCGGCCAAAGGCACTGCTACTGAGACTGTAGCCGGAAGCCCCCGAGCCCCTCACGGTGCACCCTCGTGTTGCCAGGGACCTGTCCTTTCAGCTGAGAAGGCCGGGCTGCCACCCTCGCCTGTGCCCTGGCTCGGGTGCCACAGCTAATAGCAACCATCAGCAGCTTCCAGTTAGCTTTTTTTTTTTTTTTTAAGAGATAACTTATTTATTTATTTATTTGAAAGTCAGAGTTACACAGAGAGAGAAAGAGAGGCAGAGAGAGAGGTCTTCCATCATCCGCTGGTCCACTCCGCAATTGACTGCAATGGCTGGCACTGTGCCTATCCGAAGCCAGGTACCAGGAGCTTCTTCCGGGTCTCCCATGCGGGTGCAGGGGCCCAATGACTATGGGCCATCTTCCACTGCCATCCCAGGCCATAGCAGAGAGCTGGATTGGAAGTTGAGCAGCTGGGACTCAAACCTGCGCCCTTAAGGGATGCTGGCACCGCAGGTGGCGACTCCACCCGCTACTCCACAGTGCTGGCCCTTCCAGTTATCTTATCAGCATCTGTATAGGGTCAGCAGAATGGATGGACTGATAGAAATCACAGTTAATAGAGAACTCCTATTAAACCGCTCAGTTTACAGAGGCTTGCTATCATACCTTTGAATATGAATTCTGTGTGTAAACATGTTTGTTTCCATGGGGACAGCTTCTGATTTTGATGGATTATGTGTGATATTTGACAAGTAAAATTCTATGCACTTGCAGGTCTTGAGGGCCAGTATGGCCACAGATAAACTTATTTTAGGGTAAAGTTGCTTTATTTTTATAAAAGTTGAGCATCCCAAATCTAAAATTACAAAAATACTCTAAAACGTGGAACTTTCTGATTTCCACCTTGATGCTCAGCCAGTTTTAGATTTTGGATTTCCAGAGTTGGGGTGCTCAGCTGGTAAAAAGTCTGTGCAAATAGTTCTCAGTCCTGAAACTCTGAAAAAATCGGCATTTGTGGTCCCAGGCATTTCAGGTAAGAGACACTTAAGTTGTTCTTGCCTTTTTATTAAGAGTTATCAAGAGGCTGTGAGCAAGTGTGTTTCTAGAAGGGTACATTTAAGGGTTTTTTTTTTTTTTTTTCTTTTTTCCTAAGTCTGCTACCGCTAGGAAAGATGTTTTGCCTTGAAGAGTAAAGCGTAGAAGCCTCCTGAACTGGAAGTGGACTGTGAGTCATTTCAGTGGCTCCAGCCGGGGGTCGGGGGTGAGCTCTGTGCACGAAGGAGCGCCTCCAGACACAGGTCACGCATCTGTGCTCCTCCTGGGCGCCTGCTGCAGGTGGCTGACCGGACGCTCCCTTCCTCTCTGCTTACAGGGCCATCGTGGCACTGGTGTACAACGTGTTGAAGGCGTTTATGGAGATGAACAGCACCATGTTTGATGAGCTGACAGCCACATACAAGTCAGATCGTCAGCGGTAACTTTTTAAAGCTTTTTTGTCAGACGTGCATACAACTACTGAGTTCTTTCCTTGCCCTTTGCCGATATTGCCCGGTGGCTCCCCACCTCATAAGCACAGTGCAGTTTTACCTACGTATGTCTTCACTCTTGCATGCTCATCAGCTCTGTGTTTGCTGGTGCCCACCGGTCGCGAAGCTGTGTGACAGTGTCATGTTGTTGGAGCCTGCTCTCCTCCCTTCCTTCCAGAAATATCCCGGTTATGCTTCAGGGTTGAGAGTCTGGCACAGAATTGCCGTGTCAGGCCTGTGGAAAGCCATCAGCATGTGGCTTGCCAGCCGGGTCACTCTCATCCGGAACTCGCTCGACCTAGGCCACCCCCAGGAGGGATGCGGCGCCATTTGTCCAGCACTTTGGCTCCAGACTTACAGGAACTCAACTCTAGAACTCAACAGACTCATTGCAATGTTCTTATTATTTTAAAATTTTTTTATTTATTTGAAAAGCAGAGAGGGAGACAAAAGCAAGGTTATTCCTCCCATCTTCTGGTTCACTCCCCATATGCCTGCAACAGCTAGACTGAGCCAGACCAAAGCCAGGAGCCCCGAAGTTGGTCTGGGTCTTCTACATGGGTGGCAGGCCTCGAGTCCTTGAGCCATCACCTGCTGCCTCCCAGGGTGCACATTAGTAGGAAGCTGGAATTGGCAGCAGAGCTGGGACTCGGGCACTCGCATGTGGCATGTGGGCGTCCCAGTGGTGTCTTCACCGCTACACCAGATACTCACCCTCCTTGCAGTTTGAAAGACAGCACAAAGGACATGGAGCCTAGCAGCCTGCCGTTCCCATGTCTAAGGCCAAAAGGAAGCAAATACCACTGGAGCTTCCTACAGTAAGGCATCGTGGGCCTTCCTTAGTGCGGTTTATATTATTCAGCTTGGTCATTTGGTACTTCAAAAAGTTCATGGCAGATGGATTGAAAAGTTAACTTTTTTTGGTGCAAAGAGTTTGAAGTCCTTGCATAGATGTTTCACAGTACGTGTTTTGAAGACCTTTTGTGTGTCCAACTTTGGTTGTCTTCCAAAAGGTGTGGAGAGAACTCGGAAAGTCTTGAGAGCTCTTCTTTGTAGCTGGGCCTTGCGACTGGCCTTTGGTCGCCCAGGAGCAAGTGTCAGTTTTGAATCTCCCAAGGCCATGGTCCTTAGAGGGTCCCGGGGTGGGGGTGGGGGGGGGTGCGAGGGCTCAGACCCAGGCCCGTGCTCACCTTTCTGGAAAAAGCTGTTTCTGACCCCTTGCTTTGCTGATTTTGAGTATGTTGCTTCTCTTTTACTGAGTAGAAGAGCAATGAGAAGAAAGGTTTGGTGGCAGAGGGTGAAGTATTAGTGCAGTGATTTTTTTCAGTCACCGTGGACATTTATGAAATGCAGCTTGTTACGGAATATGGCAGATATTTAGCTGTATACAGAAGAAGCTGAGATTTCTTAGCACAGTTTTGGAATAAATGTCAATTATGGGATGTCATGCCATACTTGCAATTTAAATGACTTTTTTTTTTTTTTTTAAGATTTATTTGTTTATTTGAAAGGCAGAGTTACAGAGAGGCAGAGGCAGAGAGAGAGAGAGAAGTCCTCTGTTTGCTGGCCTACTCCCCAGACAGCCACAGTGGCCTGAGCTGGGCTGATCTGAAGCCAGGAGCCAGGAGCTTCTTCCTCAGGAGCTTCCTCCTGGTCTTCCATGTGGGTGCAGGGCCCAGCACTTGGGCCATCTTCTACTGCTTTCCCAGGCCACAGCAGAGAGCTGGATCAGAAGACGAGCAGCTGGGACTCGAACCGGCACCCATGTGGGATGCCAGCACTGCAGGCGGTGGCTTTACCTGCTACGCCACAACACAGGCCCAAAAACAACTCTTAATTCACTATATTAGCAGTTGTTATCAATCATTAAGTTTGTAACAGCCTTCTTGCCCCAAACTTAAATCTTTTTTTTTTTAAAGTTACTTAAATAGGGGGCCAAGAGCACATTTGATTACTGTGATATTCCACTAAAGATTGCATTGCCCAGAACATCCTGTTTGGGAGCACCTAAAAGCTTATTTTGTTTAAAATATTTTGGTTTATTAGATGCACACAGAGACAGAGAGAGAAGGTCCCCATCCATGGTTCACTCCATCGGGCCCACAATGGCTGGAACTGGGTTGGGCCAAACCAGGAGCTCATCCAGGTCTGCTGTGCGGGTGGCGGGGACTCGAGCGGTAGGACCATCACTGCTGCCTCGCAGCTGAGTCAGGAGCCTGAGGTGGTGTCTAACCCAAGTACTCCGTCAGTCAGCGTCTGAAACAGTAGGCTACGCGGCCACTCTGAGAGCTCATTATGATTATTCAATTAATCTTTCATATTTAGTAAAATTTCAATAATAAAGCTGCTGCCTGATCTTTTGTCATCTGAACTAAGTCCAAACCCTTGTTTAAAAAAAAAAAAAATGAGCCAGGAGGACTAGGAATAGACAGAACTGTGTGATTAATTCAGATACTCTGGCATATTAAAGTGAGTTATTGCGAGTAGACTTTCTTCACAGAAGAGAACGATTTTTTTTTAAGCCAGGGCAATACTTGGCTATATGAGCAATAGAAGGTTCTACGGAGCAGATGGAACCACTTGTCTCTCTACAGAGTTGGTGCTGGGATCAGAGAATTGGGAGATACATTTGATATTACCAGAGAAGTGGATGGAAGATTTCACTTCCAGGTGTCAAGAAATCAATGGTTTCTGTTCAGATCTAATTTTGAAGTATTGCAAATCTGAAAATGGTGGGTGGAAGAAGTATTTAGCGTTCTTAGCTACATACGCCAACATCAGTGCCTCGTACAATTGAAATTGGAAGCGAATTTGACAATATCCCCAGCATGACACTGTGGCTAGGTTTTAAAATTTCCACCTACAGGGAGAAAGGAAGGTGGGAAAGAGTGGAATGATAGTTAACTCTATCAGAAATGCTCAGACTTTTTAAAGATAACGTTGTCAGCGGCATGAAGTTCATCTGTAGGAGAGGCCCTAGAGGACAGTTTGCATTGATGGCCATTCAACTGTGGGTCAAGAACACGAGCGAGACACTTCAGCAAGAAGATGATGAGTGCTTGCAGAAAAGTAGTGACTTGCTAGATTTGCCTTTCGCTTTTCATTTGTGAGGGTGTCCTTCTGTTGGCTGTGTGCATTGCTGAGACCTTCAGGTCTGTGACGCGCCGTTTCACTCTGCTCTGTGGCCTTCGAGAAACACAAGTCCTTAACCTCAACGGCCAGGTTGTTGTTGAGGACTGTCTAATCTTGCTCCTGCCGTGCTAATGCACTTTCTCATGGTCAGAATTGCCAGATAGGTAATTCTGTTACGCCCAGTAAGAGTTAGGTTCTATAGAAATCTGATTATAGCAATCAAGGCCTAGGTTATCAAAATATTGATTATGAAATGCTGATACTCGTTACACAGCCTAGCATTCCCTCATGACTCTAGAGGAATGAGGATAGCAAACTACTTTGATTTTTCTGGAGGTTTTTTTTATTGAAAGATTTCTTTTTTTCCTTTTTTTTTTTTTTTTTTAAAGATTTATTTATTTGAAAGGCAGAGTTACAGAGAGAGAGGTCTTCGATCTGCTGGTTCACTACCCCAAATGGCCTCAACTGCCACAGCTGAGCTAATCCAGAGCCAGGAGCTTCCTCTGGGTCTCCCACGCGGGCGCAGGGGCCCAAGCACCTGGGCCATCTTCTACTGCTTTCCCAGGCCACAGCAGAGAGCTGGATGGGAAGTGGAGGAGCTGGGACTTGAACTGGTGCCCATTTGGATGCTGGGCTGCTGGCTGGGGCTTTAACCCGCTGGGCTGGCCCTGAGAGATTTATTTCTTTATAAGGCAGAGAGGGCGAGCAAGCACTTTCCCGAGCAGTGAAACTTGCGCTGTGGCCGAAGTTAAGTCCTTGCTGACAAAGCGCAGGGACCACGTTGCTGTGCCTGGATTGGCGGGGCCCCTCTTTTCCGGCATCATCGGAGTTTGTGGACTCAGAGGTCAAGATGAGGAGAACTAGGAACAGTACAGTGAATGATGTTGAATAAACCAACTTCATTCAGTTTACAGTATAGCTGTGTATTCCTACTTGGTTGATGTTAACAGTTGCTGTCTTTGGCTAAAATCTGCGAATTCCTAAATGTCCTTGGCAAAATGCAGTTTGTTGACTATATGTTGGAATCCAGTTTTACAGTAAATTTCGTCAGTGAAATCTGAAGGACTGGAAATCACCAGTAAAACTGATACTGAACCAAAGTTGAAGTCTTGGTACATTAGAGAGTGAACAGATAATGATATCAACCAAAGTCGGCCCCAGTCGTTAATTAAACTGAAATTGCAAGGTCTTAGTTTCTCCCAAGCTGCTAAGGAGTTGGCATATTGCTGGTGTGGGAAAAGCAGATAGGAGCAGAGCGGGGAAGGTGGTGTTCCTGATCCCACTCTTTTCTCTGTGTCAGTGTCATGTCCACTGTCCTTGTGGAGAAGCCATTTTGGAGACATCCAAAAACCTAGAGTCCCCCGAGGCCCCAGAACATACTGACAGGCCGTGGTTCTGGGCCAGCTGATCGTGGAAGTCCACCCAGCTGGTTGCTCAGTGATTTTGAAGCTGATTTTCCCCATTAAGCTAAGTATAAAGGGATATTAATATGGCGTCTTAAAATACCCTTGTCATCTGCTCTGTGGAGTAATGCTACTTTTGTGCCTATGTAGGTAGCAAAAAAAAAAAAAATCATAAAATGCAAGCACAGGAGAGGAAAACCCAAAATGAGGACATGCGCCAGCTTCCTGTGAGCCTTTGGAGGCTTTTCAAACATTGACGGGAAAAATGTGTTGCAAGCAGCTGTTGGTGGAGAATCTCCCCCGCTTCTCGGTTGCTTATGTTGTTTTCTCTCCCCCAGTGAGAAAAAGAAAGAAAAGGAGCGTGAAGAGTTATGGAAGAAGTTGGAGGACCTGGAGTTAAAGAGAGGCCTTAGACGCGACGGGATAATTCCAACCTAACAGAGACAACGCCGGCAAGCTAGCTAACCTGTGGAGCCACACATTTATGTAGTAGAAGATGGAGCAACAGTTTTCTGTATTGTGCAACTTTACAGTAGATTTCACATTTGTTTCATTGTTACAGCAACACTGTATATACCTGTCTCTAAGTAAAGGAAAAAAATAAGGACTTCAAATCCAAAGTTTGGACAGTAGATGGACTTCTCAGAACTTTGCAAACGTAATCATTGTTCTAACCCTCTTTAAAACACGAAACAGCAGTCTTCAGAGATCTGTTGATGAAATTGCTATGTTAAAATTCCATTATCAGGAGTTCCTTATTTATCACTAGCAGAGAGTATGATAAAATTTTCAAATGTGAACAATCTTAAATTTAGCTTGTCTTTCTGCTAAGCTGTTAAATGTATTTATAGTAAAGAAAGAAAAAAAAAAGACTGTCATTTCCTTGTAAGTTTGTATGCCATCCTCCTCTGGATAACTTGACTGTAATTTGACATCTTTTCCTTTTGCACATCTTCATGAGTTGAATGTCCATGTGGAAGGGGGCCATGAATTATTAAGGCCCCTGATAGAGAAAGTTTTGTTTACTGGGGTGAACATCTTTCCAGTCGCCAGGTAGCCCTGGTGCTCCTTTCGTTTGAAAATTAAGAGTCAGAAGAGAAGAGGTGATAAACATAGTAGGGAGGGGAGTTTTGGATTCATGCGTGAGTCGATGGTGGATCCAAATCAGTGTCTTGAATCCTTTGAAAACAGGCACTGGGGCTGCACAAGCTTCAGTCCCTGGCCAGTATTGGTTGCATACATCACTGAACACACACAGACCAGAGATGTTTTAGAAATGTCAGAAAAACATCCTTTTGGACCATATGAAATGAGAAAGACAAACACTAAAGTCTAACCATGAAATTGATCGCCAGGATTGTGAATCCAATTGGGAACAGAGTTGAGCAAACAGCTTGGACTGTTTGGAGTTGTTGCCTTACTTTTTAATATGTATTTATAAAGTATTCCAGCAAAAGAGGATGTAGCCTCTGGGAAAAAACAAACAAACATGTTACAGTGTTTTTTGTAGATTTCTCGTTCTATATCTCATCACAGTGCCCACCCTGTTTTTAGCCGGAAAGGATTCAGGATAAACATTATGCATTCTGAACTGGATGCGTATTCCTAACTACTGTATTTGTTACCAAAAGTGGTTCTACAAATGCTACTGAAAAAATCTGGAAATTCCTAATGTCCTGAGTATTAATAATAAAGTTTAAAAATGCTTTTATATCAAAGGTGCATCGTGACCAAATTGTTTAAGAAAACAAAAACAAAAACAAAAAAACAAAATCTAGGGCTGTATTATAGATGTATCTTATTGGCTCTCTGCTTTGTACTTAAAAGAGGAATCTTATACCAAGGGGTAGGAAAGTCCCTGGTACAACCTGTGTACAGTACGTACGGACTTAATATGGCTGCATTGTGATGTACTGAAAGGCGTGTGTCCTGGGTTGACGTCCAGGATGCGCTTGCTCATGGTAGATGGGCAGCAGTGAGTTGATAATCCTCAGCCGTCCCCTTCCGCAGTATCCAAGGGTGGGGCTGAGTCTTTGTTCATATGTTAAATTGTGATAGTAGCAAACACGAGCATATGAACTACTGTTGCTCTTACTAGAAATATAATATAAATATGGGCCTGTATATTTTCTTTCTTCCATTGAAATATAAAGCAGAATATACAGTGTTATTGTTTCCAAGAGAAAGGAAAAAGGAGTTGCCACTGCGCTTTCTTCCCTGGGAAGTGCTCCAGGGCCAGGAGGTAGAGTGCGTCCTTAGGAGTCAGCTGGTGGCGGATATTGTCACCTAGGTAACTTTGTAAACAACACTTGACATCGTCCATTCCTAAAGAGAAATAGCATTAAAAACATCACGCACAGCACCAAACACAACGTGGGTTGATGGAATTCCTAGATTTACAAAAAAAGAAGTTCATGGGGCTTCAACGTAAAGGTGGCAGAGGCTGCCAGAGGAGGCACCGTACTTCCAAGGTGTGGGAGCCGAGGCGCCAGTTGAGTTACTGATGCTGGAGGATCGTGTGTGACCTTTCTTCTCCGCCCTTTTGGTTTTAGCCCTTTCCTTGTGACTCTACATCACGTTGATTTTTGGTAGTATAAACTTTTTTTTGCCCAGAATTCATCTTTTTAGATAGGAGATGTGAAAATCCCAGGTTTATCAAGAACCTCCGCCCATCGGAATGCAATGCAGTCACTGGAGACGAGAGAGGCCAGGGTCCCTTTTTTTCTTTTTGTTGCACCTTACACTGCCATCAGAGTGAAGGTGGAAATGACACGGGTGATCCTGGATGTCAATTTTGTGTGTTGATCATTCCAAACTGAGAAGACTAAAGCCAAATTTTGGTGTATTTAAGGAAGCCGCGATAGAGCTATATGTCTACAATCCACAGGGCAACTTCTGAGAAGAAAACGCTGTCTTTTTCTTTCCTAACTGAGAGTGACAATGTGACGTTTGTCACGTTGTGTGCAGTGACGCAGAGTAACTGAGGTAAGCTGACTGTTGCACTATGTGACATTTTTAAGGACGCACTTGCTGCATTGGCAGCCGCCCTCTCTGTCCCTTCCCACAATTCTGCTGTTGCTGCAACTCGAGTTAATTGTGACAAATGCATCCTGGTGTTCTATTTTGTTTGCGTCATGATTTTCAGAACTATATATAAATATATTTTTTAAATAGCAAATATTGTAGTTAGTGAGGATCACTCCAACCCATTCCCTACCATATTGGTTTCAGGGATAGGATTACGAGTGTCTTTGGAAGAAAACAATACACACAGCCCTGTGGTTTAGAACGAGACTGAGGCCTTGGGCTGTGGGCCTAGACAACTGTATGAGTGAAAACCAACCCATGTCATACTCTGAATCAAAGCATGCATTCCTTTTTCTCATCATGCGAATGTCCTAGTTGTTTTCCTTCAGTGTTAGGTTTTGTCCTTTTAAGTTTTAGTATATTTTCCTCTAACATTTGCCTTTTAAAAAAAATTAAAAAAAAAAGAAAGAATACCCTCAATGCCGCTGGATACTCACAAGCAGGGTTATGCTCCTTCCTCTTGGGCTTGTTTGCCTAAGTAGAAGGATTTAATTTATTCTGTACCTCCTCCTAGGCGTGGGGCAGTCCAGGGTGCACAGCCAGGAATTGCTAGTAATTGCACCTGCAATACTTAAACACATAGCCCTAGGCGCAATCACACTATGGAAAGGAAAAAAAAAAGTATATTTAGAGCTTTAAAAGCCTTTTTATTTTTTTGTGGGGGTGATGGGGGGTGGGAAAGTGATATATGGAAGTTACTGGCATTTTTAAGTGTTCAGATTCTGGCCCTCCCCCGCCCCGTTTTTTTTTTTTTTTTTTTTTTTTTTTCCTCCCCGTTTAATTGGATGCACTGATCTGGCCCAGGAAATGAAGAGATCCTTTTGATGCTATAACCAATGTTATCACCAAGTGACAGTCACCTGTGGCTACCAGGTGGCACCAGATGTGATCAGTAAAGTTGTATTTGCACATCGATATTTTTTGTGTGTGTCTGGCTCAGCCGCTTCTCTGAGTGGAGTTGAGGGATGAGCCACAGGGATTTTTGTAGCAGGTCTATGGACAGTGCATCTTAGATTCCTCTGCATTTCATTTTGAAAAGCTGAAAGGAGGATTGTGCATCTGGAGAGAAAGTTGAGCAAATTCTGATCTAGCGGAATGTTCGTTTGTGCTGCTTCTTGTGTACGACAGCAGCAGAGGTCTCTCTCGGAAATACACGTCCCGTATTGCGATGTCTATGAACATAGGTTTCCTTTGCTTCCTCCTGCCTCTCCCGTCCTCCTCGGAGCTTTTCCCCCTGCCCAATCTCCTCTCTTCCTCCTTTCTCCCCCTCTTCTGTTAGCCTGTCTTCCTCCATTCCTTCCTGCCCCCTTTCCTCTTTCTTTACTTTTTTTTTTTTTTTTTTTTGGGAAATCACTTATTGTAAATAAGTTGTAATCCACACCTCATGTATCAAATGGGGAACTTTCAAAAATACAAATATTACCAATACATTTTCTGGTTGTTGTCTGATTTTTGATTGAAGCATAATGAAAATGACATGTCCATTGCTTTTGGTTTGAGGATTTTGCTGTAGCTTTATACATCTGGTATTTTAGTATTTCATTGTCTTAGCAGGAGAGGGCAGCAGAAGTTCATTTTCCCTGTTAGTAATGCTGTGATTCATGGTTGGATTTGAATTTAGCTGTGTGTGTGTGCGTGTGCGTGTGTGTGTGTGTGTGTGTGTGTGTGTAACAGCATCTGTTTGTGGGTAGAGGTAAAAGTGAAGCATTTTTGATATGAAAAGTTGCATATGAAAATTATAGACTGGTTCAACCAGATGGTGAAGACTTCTGACCCACAACGCTAAAACACCAGATCTTCCAGCTCCTTCCTTCTCAGACACAACAGAATGCAAGCTGGGTCTTGAAACACTTGGAACTTAAAATGTTTTTTCTTTGGAAATGATTTAACTTTCTTCAAAGTGGTGACAGAAACAAAAATGAAGGTGCTCCCCCAACGCAATGTAACCCCGTTCACAGCTGTGTGCAAGGTTCTGTACTGTGGGCGCATCAGAATAAAGCAGTGGAGTGTTCTGGGGCGCCTGGCTCTGTTGTTTGTCTCCCACCTCCGTGGCCTTTTCCGAACCATACAGGTGATAGAGTTGATCCGTTCAGCCTTGAGGGCAAGTGAGGTTGGCGTGCTGGGGCTTCCAACTGGGGGAGAATTCGTCTATGATGAGGGGTGTATAATACCGGGCAGTGGTCCAGGGGCTTTATGGTATAACCAGCCTCTCCCCGTGCTAGAGGCTCCACACAGCAATGCTTAAGTGCTCACTCTGGGTTTTATGGTTTGGGAAGGACTTGGCAAGAGCTTGTGGTCTCTGAGCCTCGTATCAGCGTGGATGTCTCAGGCCGGGCAGGAGGGTTCACTCCCAACACGGTTCACTCAGCGTGGCCTTCAAGTTCGTGCAGGCTCTTACCTTGTGGGTCTCCTCTCTTACAGTGTGGCCACTGGGTTCTAAGAGACAGGACATGGGACTGCCAGTTTGCTGCATCCTGCAGTCTGGGCCGACTGTCTCAGCATCACTTCCGTCCTGTTCTTTTGACTAAAATCAGAGCCTGCTCAGCTTCAGGTGAGGGTAGGGGACACACAAACCTCAATGTATTGGCTGATTTGCAGTCACGTGAGAGAGGAATGGTTTCTCTGTAAAGCATTTGATTTGGGTGTGGTCTACCGTTAGACAATTAAATTGTATAAAACCGAGAAACATGGAGGTAACCAGTTGATGTTTGCTATTCAGAGAATCTGGGATGGGAGGAAAAAGTCCTTGTAAACTCGGGCATTTTGTGTTTTGTAGCATCAAGATCAACCTCTTGGCAGGTTATGGGGATAAGAAACTTGTCACAGAATATTTAGGGTTCAGAGATTTAAGAGATGATTCCCATTTCAGTGAAATCGGCAATCCTTGGCAGGGGGCTGCCACCCCCTGGAAATAAGTATTTACAAAAATGGAGACATAGCAGATGAAAGTGCAATTCGTGTTTCCCGGATTTTATGCAAGTAGTGTGTCCTAGGGTGGCTCTTTGGCCTGGCAGTGTCCATCACTGGTTACAATGCTCTCTCTGCGAGTCTGAATGTCCCAGTTTGGTCCTGAGCTCCGGCTCTGAGCTAGCTTCAGCCCTTGCCCAACCCTACCCATTGTGGGTGTTTGAGGACTGAACCAGTAGGTGGGAGTTCTATCTGTGTCTCACCGACTCTTCGCCTCCCAAATGTATTAAAAAACAAAATTAGTGGCCGGCGCCGCGGCACAATAGGCTAATCCTCTGCCTGCGGCGCCGGCACACCGGGTTCTAGTCCTAGTTGGGGCGCAGGATTCTGTCCCAGTTGCTCCTCTTCCAGGCCAGCTCTCTGCTGTGGCCCGGGAGTGCAGTGGAGGATGGCCCAAGTGCTTGGGCCCTGCACCTGCATGGGAGACCAGGAGAAGCACCTGGCTCCTGGCTTCGGATCAGCGCAATGCCCTGGCCACAGTGCACCGGCCGTGGCGGCCATTGGAGGGTGAACCAACGGTAAAGGAAGACCTTTCTCTCTGTCTCTCTCTCTCACTGTCCACTCTGCCTGTCCAAAAAAAAAAAAAAAATTAGCGATGTATCCTGAAAGTTTCTTTTAAGCTCACATTAGCTTAAAAAAAAACACTAAAGAATGGGATAGTTAGGAGAAATGAAAATTTGATTTTTTTCTGATTATGATGTATGTTATAAATACACTTTTAAAAAAAGATATATTTATTTATTTGAAAGAGTTACAGAGAGAGGGGGAGTCAGATCTTCCATCTGCTGGTTCACTCAGGGCCAGGCCGAAGCCAGGAGCCAGGAGCTTCTAGATCACCCATGTGCGTGCAGGGCCCCAAAGACTTGGGCCATCCTCCTCTGCTTTCCCAGGCACAGTAGCAGGGAGCTGGTGATCAGAAGTAGAGCAGCTGGGACATGAACAAATGCCCATATGGAATGCCAGCACTGCAGAGAGCAGCCTAACCCGCTATGCCACAGCACAAGCCCCCTACACTTTTATTCTTAAGGCAGAATTGTTTTATGATAATTGTTTCTTATGACCTAAGAAACCTTTCTGTTTTCCCCACCCCCACATCCCAGAACCGAAAATATGCTCTTATGTTTTCTTCTAAGGACTTATTTATAATTTTAGCTTTCTGTCTCAGTGCATAGTTCCCCTTGGATTCTGTTTTGGGAAGATTATAAACTAGGAATCTAGATCCATTTTCTTCATATGAATATCCAGTTACCATGGCACCACTTACTGAAATGTCTCCCTGAAGAGTTGGTTTGGTCCCTTTGTCAACAAGCTACCCTGAAAGTTTGCATCTACATTGGGGTGTCCTGTTCTACTCCAGTTGTAGTGGAGGTCCTTGAGACAGAACCATGGTGTCATGATTACTGTAGCTTTAAGATGGCCTGGGAACCAGTTGTCTGTGCTCTTTCTTTTTCAAGGTTGCTGTCCATATGCCAGCCAGATCCTTTGATCTCTACATAAAACTCAGAAGCAACCCATCTATTTCTACAGAAGAAAATAAACTGGTGGTGTTGTGATTGGGGTTACATGGAACCTGTGATTTTGGGAAGGACTGACACAAATACTGAATTATAATCTATAGTTGGAATGTGTTCCCCTTAAAGCATATACTAGAAACTTAGTCCCCAGTGCAACAGTTTTGGGAGGCAGGGACTAATAAGATGTGGTTAGGCTGTGAGAGCTCTGCTCACAGGAATGGATCAATGCTGTTTTTCTAGGACTGGATTCGTTATAAAAGGATGAGTTCAATCTCTAGCTGTCTGTCTCTCTCTCTCACTCCTGCTCCACGTCCCTCCTTTCTTCCCTCCCTTTCCCACCCTCCTGTGTTCTGCCATGGGATGATATAGCAAGGCCACCTCCAGATGCTGGCACCTGGACCCCCCCAGCATCCAGCACCATGAGAAACAAGCTTGTTCTCTTTAAACGTCACCCAGTGTCTGTGTGACATTCTATTACAGCCCCATGAGATGGACTGACATCCATGAACATGGTATAACTTCATTCATTCTGTCTTTAATTTCCCCCAGCAATATCTGGTAATTTTTCAGTCTGGAAGTCTCCTGAATCATTTGTTAAATGTATTGGTAAATATTTTTATGTTTTGGGAAGGCATTAGAAATGGAACTGTTTTTTCATTTTTGTTTGATACTAAAATTGATTTTGTGTATTAACTGACATCTTTACATTTTGCTAAATTTACCTATTTAATTAGTTTTATAGATTCCATAGGTTTTTGTGTAAATAATCCTTTTATCTGCAGATAGAAAGTTTTATTTCTTTGGTTTTGATCTCCAAATTTCTATTATAGTTCTTTCCTTTATCCTTGTTGTGAAGATTAAGACTGGAGTATAATGTTGAATAGAAGTGGCACAAGTGTCATTCTTACCTTATCCCTAATCTTAGAGAGAAAGTGATATTTCTCCATCAACTATGTTAATTGTAGTTTTTTTTTAAATTGATGTCCTTTATGAAATTGAGGAAGTTTCCTTCTATTTTTAGTTTTCTGAGTTTTTTTTTTTTGTCATGAATAAGTATTGATACTTGTCCATTGCCTATTCTGAATATACTGAAATGATGCTACAGTTTTTCTACTTTTATTTTATTGAATTTCTGGGATAAACACTATGTATATTGTAAGGAAAGATTCTCAGTCAGTGTCTTTGTGTATCACTCAGCAGTTTGTATCTCTAAGTTTATACCTTTTAACCAGGTTTGGTAAACTTCTCCATTCTTTGTATTCCCTGTTTCTGTTATATGTGTGTTAACCCTTTTGGTATTATACCAAAGGTCCCTGAGATTGCTCATATTTTTAAATTTTTGTTGTATGGAGATAAAACACGGTTAACAAAGTGACCACTGTAAACCCTGCAGGAAGTTAGAACTTTCACAGTAGTGTGCAGCCATCATTCTGTGCACTTCCAAAGTACTATTAAGCACTCTCCATTCCTTCCTCAGCCCCTGCAACTACTAATCTGCTTTCTTCCTTTATGTATTCTGTATATTTCATATAAATGGAATCATATGATCTGTGGCCTTTTGTGTCTGGTTTCTTTGATTTAGCATAATGCTTTTTGAAGTTCACTTATGTGGTAGCATTACTTTTCATGACTAAATAATATTCCATGGTATGTATATTCCATGTTTGTATTGTTTTTACCTAGAAACCTTAAAGGTGTACACACTTCATGCATTTCATATATAAAAATTTAGGAAAACAGTGATTCTTCCCTTCCTACCCTCCCTCCCACACTTCTTCCTCTTCCTTCTTCTAGTCCCATTATTATTTCTTACTAAGAGCTATTTTCAATGAACTTTATACACATCAGATTAACCCTACACTAAATAAAGAGTTCAACAAATAGTATGGGGGGAAAAACTGTCCCTCAACAGTTGAGACAAAAGGGCATCTCAAAGTGTCAATTTCACTTCTATAGATTACCCTTTTTTTTTTTTTTGACAGGCAGAGTTAGACAGTGAGAGAGAGAGACAGAGAGAAAGGTCTTCCTTTTTCCATTGGTTCACCCCCCAAATGGCCACTACGGCCAATGTGCTGCGCCGATCCGAAGCCAGAAGCCAGGTGCTTCCTCCTGGTCTCCCATGTTGGTGCAGGGGCCCAAACACTTGGGCCATCCTCCACTGTCTTCCTGGGCCACAGCAGAGAGCTGGACTGGAATAGAAGCAAGCAGGACAGAATCCG